TATCTGCTGATCGCCATTGTGTCGGTGTCAGTCATCTTTCTGCTCAGCCTCATCAGTTTAATAGCTGTCAAATGCCACAGGACAGACGGCACTTTCAGCAGGTACAGCGCCCCAATGATCACCACCCACCCTGACGGGAGCTGGTCTTACTCCAAAGCTACTCAGCAGTATGACGTGTGTTTCAGCTCAGACACACTCAAGAGTGACGTAGTGGTTTTCCCCGCACCATATCCGCCTGTAGATGCTGAGCTGATCAGTATTAATGGAGGAGACACTTTTACCAGAACTCAGACTTTACCCAACAAAGAAAAGGTAGGCCATTTGTTTTGAGTGCTTGTAAAAGTTGGCAACACTGTCATAAAAAATGATGCCATTTCCTGGCTGTTTTTGAATATCAAGATTTGCAATATATTGAAAAATAAGAAGGTGATAGTGTAAAACGTCCGTCAAGCATCATAAACAAACATCTGTCACTGACTCCTAATCTATCATGCTTGTTCAAACAGAAACTAATACATCTTTTACAACACTCTGGCTGCACTTGAAGGCTGGGACATAGTGAAAATCGGTTGCTTAGCCACAAGAAAACTTTTAGAATGTGTGTCACATGTACTGTGTGTTAAATGGTCTATGCTGAAATACCAAGATTCAACATTTTCTTTAGGTACAAAGGTCGTCTGTAACAGTGGGAACAATGATATAGTTTATTGAGTTATTGCTAGTATTGAAATAAGCTGTCCGTAGTGCCGAAGTAGGTTTGTATGCCTTCAACTTCAAACCCCGCTACACTTATGCTTGTTGAATGCATTTTATTGTATAATAAATTGATTTAAGTTGTTTTTATCTGAAATGAAACATCAGTTGACGTGGTGCTGAGTTTACAACATGGGATACTGGTGTCATTCTGATGTGATCTGATAGGTTTGTTATGCCTCCTTTCATTGAATGTAGTGAAAGGGAGCTGTCCATGGTGCTTGTCTATGTGTTGGCAGTGTGTAGTCTCTGTAGCTTCCTGCAGTGATTGAAAATCATATGGCTACACTCTGAAATGAAATACTAATTTTCTTTCTGGACATATTGAATTATTTGTACTCTATAAAATAGCTTGATTAGCCATCTAAATATTCAGTTGTAGGGTTGCCACACTCCGGATGTAAAAACACACGTTTAATCCCGATCACTGATGTAATTCATAATGTTGACATTATATGACTTTGTCATACACTGGATTTTATTTGCTTACCGCTCATTCACCACATGATGTCGCTGGAGACCGTAGACATGAATGTGTGTATATAGCCTATCCAAAACTCCTCCCTGGATGGGAAAAAATGAAATCGTCATCGGCCATCAGTACACCCGCGGAAGGCGCTGTGACGAGAAGGGCAGGAGCTTCCACACTATTACATTTCTTTGTAAGGAAATATCTGGACTGAGGATAAATGATCGACGGGGTTCAGTTGTTGCATCAACAATGTATATCCGAGGACAAAAGGAATACGTCTGGATTCACATTGTTGTGTTCCTTTGTCTCTGTAACGGGTCTGCTTCGCAGTTATCCTACTCGATTTCCGAGGAGGTGAACAAAGGCACCGTAGTGGGGAATATTGCAAAGGATTTAAACCTCAATGTACAGGAACTGGAGACCAGGGATCTACGTATTGTTTCCAGTTACAGTAAGAAATATTTTGACGTGAATTTGCGCACCGGGAACATCTTTGTTGATGAGAGAATAGACAGAGAGGAGCTTTGTCCGAATGTGGTGAAATGCTCGTTAAAAATTCAAGCCGTTTTAAACAACCCAATGACTGCACACCGCATAGAGGTTCATGTTTTAGATATAAACGATAATTCGCCTGCTTTTATTGAAAACACGTATTCTCTGAATATTTCTGAATCATCTTTAACTGGAGAACGATATTTCTTCCCAATAGCGGAAGATGCAGACATAGGCAGTAATTCGGTGAAGACGTACAAGCTGAGCCAGAATGAACATTTCTCGCTTGATGTGCAGAGCGGTGGAGAACACGGTGTGTCTGCTGAGCTCGTGCTGCAGAAAGCTTTAGACAGAGAGAAACAGTCAGTGATCACACTTCTCCTGACCGCTGTAGATGGAGGTAAACCTCCGAGATCGGGTTCATTACGCATACATGTTTATGTCATAGACGCCAATGATAACATACCCACTTTTAGCAAATCGCTGTATAAAGCACGTGTACCTGAAAATGCTGCACACGGAACAGTGGTGATAAAGTTAAATGCAACAGATTTGGACGAAGGCATGAACAGTAAGATCCTGTATTCACTGATCAAACGAGGAAATATTGATCAGTCAAATATTTTTGATCTAGATTCAGAAACAGGCGAAATCACCGTGAAGGGAACATTAGATTATGAAGAGACGCCTGCTTATGAGGTCAGAGTTCAAGCAAGGGATCAAGGCACCTCCCCTCGTATTGCACAAGCTAAGGTGCTGATAGAGATAATTGATGTGAATGACAATGCCCCGGAAATATCTGTGACGTCACTCATGACCCCCGTAAAAGAAGACGCAGAACTGGGGACAATAGTTGCTTTGGTAACAGTCAGTGATAAAGATGGAGGGAACAATGGTGTAACTAACTGTAAGGTAGTGGGGTCTGTTCCCTTTAAACTCAAGTCCAACTACAAAAATGACTATTCATTAGTCGTAGATGGACCACTGGACAGAGAAAACACTTCTCTTTACAATGTCACTATTACAGCCACAGATGAGGGAAGTCCACCTCTGTCCAGTATCAGGGTCATTACTGTTCATGTTTCTGATGTCAANGCTGTAGATGGAGGTAAACCACCGAGATCGGGGTCATTACAAATAAATGTAAATGTTTTAGATGTCAATGATAACATACCCACTTTTAGCAAATCTCTTTATAAGGCGCGTGTACCTGAAAATGCTGCACCCGGAACAGTAGTAATTCAGTTAAATGCAACCGATTTGGACGAGGGCATGAACAGTAAGATCCTGTATTCATTGATCAAAAGAGGAAATATTGATCCGTCAGATTTTTTTAATCTAAATTCAGAAACAGGTGAAATCACTGTGAAGGGAACATTAGATTATGAAGAGACGCCTGCTTATGAGGTCAGAGTTCAAGCAAGGGACCAAGGCTTTTCTCCTCGTAGTGCACATGCAAAACTGCTGATAGAGATAATTGATGTGAATGATAATACCCCAGAAATATCTGTGACGTCATTCATGGCCCCAGTAAAAGAAGACGCAGAACTGGGGACAATAGTTGCTTTGGTTACAGTCAGTGATAAAGATGGAGGGAACAATGGTGTAACTAACTGTAAGGTAGTGGGGTCTGTTCCCTTTAAACTCAAGTCCAACTACAAAAATGACTATTCATTAGTCGTAGATGGACCACTGGACAGAGAAAACACTTCTCTTTACAATGTCACTATTACAGCCACAGATGAGGGAAGTCCACCTCTGTCCAGTATCAGGGTCATTACTGTTCATGTTTCTGATGTCAATGATAATGCACCTCGCTTCATGGAGCCTGTGATCAATGTTTATGTTAAAGAGAACAGTCCTGTTGGCTCTGTTATCCATACAATAAATGCCTTTGATCCTGATTTGGACAGTAATGCAAAACTGACTTACAAATTGTTAGATGCTAATCCAAAAAATATTCCGGTGTCATCCATTTTAAACATCAACTCAGAGACTGGAGATATAGTCAGCCTGCAGTCTTTTAACTATGAGGAGTTGAAAACGTTTCAGTTTAAAGTTCAGGCCACAGACTCTGGTGTTCCTCCGCTCAGCAGCAATGTGACTGTCAACGTTTTAATCCTGGATGAAAATGACAATAATCCAACAATTCTCGCGCCATATTCTGAGCACGGCTCCGTTAACAGTGAGAGCATCCCCTATTCTGCTGAAGCGGGATACTTTGTGGCAAAGATCAGGGCTGTAGACGCAGACTCTGGATACAATGCGCTGCTCTCTTATCACCTCTCTGAGCCCAAAGGAAACAACCTCTTCCGCATCGGAACCAGCACCGGAGAAATCAGGACTAAGAGGAGAATGAGTGACAATGACCTGAAAACTCACCCCTTGGTGGTGTTGGTGTCTGATAACGGAGAACCCTCCCTGTCAGCTACTGTGTCTATTGAGGTGGTGGTGGTTGAGAGCACAGCTGACATCCAGACTCAGTTCAGACATGTGCCCATAAAGGAGGACAGCTTCTCTGCGCTGAACCTCTATCTGCTGATCGCCATTGTGTCGGTGTCAGTCATCTTTCTGCTCAGCCTCATCAGTTTAATAGCTGTCAAATGCCACAGGACAGACGGCACTTTCAGCAGGTACAGCGCCCCAATGATCACCACCCACCCTGACGGGAGCTGGTCTTACTCCAAAGCTACTCAGCAGTATGACGTGTGTTTCAGCTCAGACACACTCAAGAGTGACGTAGTGGTTTTCCCCGCACCGTTTCCGCCTGTAGATGCTGAGCTGATCAGTATAAATGGAGGAGACACTTTTACCAGAACTCAGACTTTACCCAACAAAGAAAAGGTAAGAACATAATAGCACCACGTGTTTGACACTACACCAATGTTGAGAACTGGGTGGGAATTGATGCCGTTGTACTTGAAGTCTTTTGCAAAAAGCTTTGTGTCATGTAGGTGATTAGGGGAAAAATATGTGACTTGCGTTTGAGTTAATATACTGTAGAAATATTCAAAATTACCTGAGTATCTTGATATAAATTCACACAATGGAAATGTGTTGAATTAGTGATCTCAGTCATGACTTTCTGCTGAGCTGCTTTTTTTAAGTGTATGTGGCTTTCCATGGTGCTGAAGGCATGTGGTTCTGTGTCGCTTCTAAACTGCAGGACAAAGCTGTAAATTATTTTCAACCCTGTCTCATAGAAATTAGGCTTTCATACCGGCTCAAACATCAGCAATGTATTTGTGAAGATACATGCTTTGTCTTTAGTTTGATTGTGCTTCTTTTCCCTTTATTCGTGTCTGGCTTTTGCAGAAAGCGGGTTTTTGTTTGTGTCCTGACTAAACCATTTTTCTGGATTGCTGATATTTTAAAAACCTTCTTCTGTAATCACATCAGTTGTCTCGTGAAGTTTTGACTTCATTTTGAAAACAGTTCAGTTTATTAAAAGATGCAATCATATTAAGTGTTAATCTAAATTATCACTGTGATGAATTAAGCAGTTCAACCAATTCTTCTTTGACTTATGAAATGGTTTAGCTACATGTTCAAGTGGAAATTAAGAATGTCAAGGTCTGCTAATATTAGTGTCTGTATGTTGAATGTAGTTCTCGCAAGTGTCCACATGAGGACATTGTAGACCGTCACATTTGAACCAACTCGTTGGTAGCACGGGGCTCCTCCCAGATTCAGAGGATGATGATGTTTCTCAGGCGATTCAAACAAAGAGACTCGGGGAGCGAAAGAGGACGGTGCGACCACCATTTTTCTATTGTAGTGCTTATATGCCGATAAATTCATTTGGTATATTTCGTGATGCTGTTTAATGTATCCATATGAGTGACCTTATTCGCCAAATCTACCTTTATGTCGTCTCTGGATGTGTGGAATGATGCATTTGCCGAGCAGAAGGAGCTGTGTGTGGATATATCTCCTGTTCGTGCTGCTGGATTGTTACTGGGAAGCGGTGTCTGGACAGCTCTCTTACTCCGTCTCAGAGGAGGTGAATCTGGGGACTGTTGTCGGAAATATCGCCAAAGATCTCAACATCAATGTCCAGGATTTGGAGTCCCGCATGTTTCAGATCGTTGCTGGATCAAAGAGAAAATATTTCGAGGTAAATCTAAAGACTGGTGTCCTGTATGTTAATGAGAGGATAGATCGAGAGGAACTCTGCGGCGATGAACCAAAATGTTCCCTCAGTGTAGAAGCAGTGATTAATAACCCTTTAAAACTGTACCGGATTGAAATTGTCATCTTAGACGTGAATGATAATTCCCCGTCATTTCTGAGCAGCTCGCAGGTAATCGACATTAGTGAGAACACAGCAGCAGGGGCTAAATTTCCTCTGCATCCTGCTGACGATGCAGACGTCGGAAAAAATACTGTAAATAACTACAAGCTGAGCCAAAATGAACACTTCTCTCTCGTCACACATAAAGGAGAGAGTATATCTCCCGAACTACAGCTTCAGAAAGTTTTAGACAGAGAAAAACAGTCTGTGATCCAACTCACACTGACTGCTATTGATGGAGGAACTCCTGCTAAATCTGGCACTATGGTGATTATAGTTAATGTGCTGGACATTAATGATAACGCTCCTATATTCAGTCAAACTCTGTATAAAGCCAGTGTGTATGAAAATGTAAAGATAGGCACGTCAATAATAACATTAAATGCTACTGATCTGGATGCAGGTCAAAATGGACATGTTTTATTATCGTTCAGTAAAGTAGGCAGAGGGAAACAACCTGATCTGTTTGCTATAGATGAAAAAACTGGGACAGTAACAAATAAAAAGAATATCGACTTTGAAGAAAATAATGCTTTTGAGATTCGAGTACAAGCCAGTGATGGAGCTTCGTCACCTATGACCTCACATGCCAAATTATTAATTGAAGTTTTAGACGTCAATGACAATGCCCCTGAAATATCTGTTACGTCATTGTTAAGCACCGTAAAGGAGGATGCGTCCATTGGCACCGCCATTGCACTAGTTTCAGTATCTGATAAAGACGGAGGTAAAAATGCGATGGTGAACTGTAGGATTTCAAATAATGTCCCTTTTAAATTAGAGTCAAATTATAAGAATTACTACTCGTTGGTGGTGGACGGTCCTCTGGACAGAGAGACCTCAGCTGAATACAACATCAGCATCACTGCTACTGATGAGGGCAGCCCACCTCTCTCTAGCACGAGCGTCATTAATGTCCACGTCTCAGATGTGAATGATAACAAACCTCTATTCACAGAAAACATAATCAATGTCTTTGTGAAAGAAAACAGTCCAGTAGGAGCAGTTTTAAAAACTGTTTCAGCAATCGATGCTGACGTCGATCAGAATGGTCAGGTGAGCTATTCAGTTTTACAAAGTAACAGTAACTCACTGCCGTTATCTACAATGGTGAACATCAACTCAGAGACTGGAGATATAGTCAGCCTGCAGTCTTTTAACTATGAGGAGTTGAAAACGTTTCAGTTTAAAGTTCAGGCCACAGACTCTGGTGTTCCTCCGCTCAGCAGCAACGTGACTGTCAACGTTTTAATTCTGGATGAAAATGACAATAATCCAACAATTCTCGCGCCATATTCTGAGCACGGCTCCGTTAACAGTGAGAGCATCCCCTATTCTGCTGAAGCGGGATACTTTGTGGCAAAGATCAGGGCTGTAGACGCAGACTCTGGATACAATGCGCTGCTCTCTTATCACCTCTCTGAGCCCAAAGGAAACAACCTCTTCCGCATCGGAACCAGCACCGGAGAAATCAGGACTAAGAGGAGAATGAGTGACAATGACCTGAAAACTCACCCCTTGGTGGTGTTGGTGTCTGATAACGGAGAACCCTCCCTGTCAGCTACTGTGTCTATTGAGGTGGTGGTGGTTGAGAGCACAGCTGACATCCAGACTCAGTTCAGACATGTGCCCATAAAGGAGGACAGCTTCTCTGCGCTGAACCTCTATCTGCTGATCGCCATTGTGTCGGTGTCAGTCATCTTTCTGCTCAGCCTCATCAGTTTAATAGCTGTCAAATGCCACAGGACAGACGGCACTTTCAGCAGGTACAGCGCCCCAATGATCACCACCCACCCTGACGGGAGCTGGTCTTACTCCAAAGCTACTCAGCAGTATGACGTGTGTTTCAGCTCAGACACACTCAAGAGTGACGTAGTGGTTTTCCCCGCACCGTTTCCGCCTGTAGATGCTGAGCTGATCAGTATTAATGGAGGAGACACTTTTACCAGAACTCAGACTTTACCTAACAAAGAAAAGGTGAGTTGATTGCAGACTTTAACTCTTCCTTCCTTGCTTTCACATACATGACTTGCAAACTTGGCAGAATCTCAGAAATTCCTAGTTAAGAATATCTCAATATAACACAAAAGACATTTACACACTGTGCATTTAAAGAAATAACAGGTTTGCCCAAGTTGGAAAATGGCATCATGTCCTGGAGGTATGTTTGTAGGGTGGTCTCTGTGGTGCTGAAAAGATACTGGTGTCTTTTTTTTTTGTCCTCTTCGGCTCTCAATGCATAAACTCTACCGTGACTTATGCTATCTGTCTTTTTGTCCATCATAGGTTGTGAATTGGTAAATTATTTATGCTTGAAAATCAATTTATTTCCTGTCCACATGGAAAATACTGTTGATGCATTTGAACTCATGAGAGTTTGATGTACCTTTTCTGTGTTACATTGTTCTCATAGATCACTGTTATTTCAGTAATCTGTGACTATTTGTCTTAACCCTGTTACAAAACTAGTTAAAGCAACTTTTAGTTGAAGTCCATGTAAAACCTTCACGTACACAATATATTGCATGTGTTGCAATGTGTGACAAATGTGTTTTACAACTATTTCAATATCCAAAATGTAACGCGTGGGGTCGCTGATGACCACACGTTTGTGGGAGCTCGGAGTTTTCAGTCTCCTCCTTTCCGTGTGAAACGTCAGCAGACTGCGAGTGCTTTGTGAGAGGAGCACGAGTGGCGATGAAAATGCGAGGACCGGAGTAGAAAGGATTAAAAATGCTGGCCGATCCACTGGCGTTTTATGGATGTATATATTTTGCATCGCGTCATTTTCTTTGAAAGCAGTGATGGGCGGTGGAAGGAATAACGGAATACTCCGTTTGCTGTTCGTCTTGTTTTTGTCTGACTGGTCTGCGGCTCAGATATCCTACTCTGTTTCCGAGGAGGTGGACAAAGGGACTGTGGTGGGGAATCTCGCAAAGGATTTAAATGTCAGTGTTCGAGACCTGCAAACGAGGAATCTAAATATCGTGTCTGGGTACAGTAAGAAATATTTTGATGTAAATTTTAAAACGGGGGATCTTTATGTTAATGAGCGAATAGACCGTGAGGAGCTTTGTCCAAACACGGTAAAATGCACGCTCAACTTCGAGGCTATACTGAGTAATCCTATGGTACTCCACCGCATTGAAGTAGTAATTGCTGATGTAAATGACCACGCACCTGCCTTCGTAGAGAAGTCATTTTCACTCAACATATCTGAATCATCACCTACGGGTGAACACTTTTTGCTTCCCCTGGCTCTTGATGCAGACACAGGGAGCAATTCAGTAAAGACTTACAGGCTCAGTCAAAATGAATGCTTCTCCCTAGATGTGCAAAGCGGTGGAGAACACAGTGCATCTGCTGAATTGGTGCTGCAGAAAGCTTTAGATCGTGAAAGACAAGCTGCTATTAAACTAACGTTGACCGCTGTAGATGGAGGAAAGCCTCCTAAAACCGGAACTTTAAACATACATGTAAATGTTCTGGATGTCAACGATAACACGCCGTCATTTAGTAAAACACTATACAAAGCACGGGTAAATGAAAATGCGACAGCTGG